TAATGATATTATGCTGTGTCTCTTATATGTTAATATTATTCAAAATAAATGGGCTTAAAAATATCATTGCCATCTTATATTTGTTTTAAAGAATTAGGTATTCATTATTTTATTTCTATATATTTCTTTCTTTTAAATCGTTATATTTTGCTTTGCTGTGGCATATTCATGACTGTATGTCTGTTTTATGGGATTCGTCAACCTTTTTTCAAACGCAAAATGATTCCAGACAAAATGTTTGCATTTTTCTGCTTTTATCCTAAACATTTATTAACCTTTGCACATTATTCAGCTGCTTTGTTTGAGCAGTCCATTAGACTCTCGGTAAACAACTAACTTGCATAAGTTACACCTTCCTGATTTTGTTAATTATTTACATTTCTCCTAATGAATATCAACTTTAGGATACCTACCCATCAAGTGAGAAACTTCGCTCTATRATAGTTCTAGGGTTGCATATTCAATTAATTTTAAAATAAAAATCAGATCGACAATAGTGAATGTTGTAAAATTAATAAAGAGCTGAAACAAATATTATACGATTTAGTACATTCTTGGTCCATTCAAAAATTTGCAAAAAACTTTTRWTATACTTCGACCCTGCCAGGATTCGAACCTGGAATCTTCTGATCCGTAGTCAGACGCGTTATCCGTTGCGCCACAGGGCCATCTGTTAGAGCAGGGGACGTTTGTTGTACTTATAGCGTTTTCCACCACACCACACTATTGCACCAAGGCGGCACTGTTAYAGTTCACTCATAAATTATATAATCGGACTTAATCGTCCTAATGCGGCTGGCGCTAGTGTAGATGAAACATAAAATCTATAAGTACTTATTACTGATATAAAAAGATAGGGCATGCTACGCCCATTAGGGACCCTCCATTATAATATATATCTATGTGAATAACCCAAGGTTTATTTTARCAATACATCACTGCAAATATTAATCAATACTCTTTTACTAAATTCGTTGAAATTTCGGAAGGGTAACTTCAGATTATTTTTTACTGATTTCTATTTAAGTACCTTTTTAAAAATTTATAACCGATGACGATGCAGGAACTGCCTTTGCATTACTTCCGCAGGGCAAGCTTTTAAGCACCTTAATACGTGGTTCTTATTGTTTATGTATGTATTTAATTAAAAAAATTAGCAAATTTTAATAATTTTAAAAATACTTATACAAATGTTTGTGATAAAAATTTAATAGGTTCATATCATTGATGTAGGCAGTGGAGTATTTACATTTTTTTTTAGGAGAATAAAAAGTTAATTTTATTACACGTATGTATATAGTGATATATGCATAGATAAATAGATCACATGATCTCCCTACTACCCACTTGTGAGATAACTTATAAGCATTGACGAAGACTAAGAGGTCGTTTCAATGAACAAATACAAAAAAAAAATAAAAATGCTATTCGTAGATATAAGGGTACCTATCCTGTGCAAAATATGTTCTCATAGCAATTTCATAGTAGTCACATTGAGACAATACATATTAAATTTATAAAATAAAAACAAGTTTTCTTTTTCTATTATCTAATTCGTCAATCACTTTATTGATTTAAAAATTAACTCAGCAAACTGATTATTAGGCAAGACCTTTAAATATTATTCTATAACGATTTTCAAAKAATTGTTTATAACAAAAAAAATATTTAGGGGTTGGTACGGGCACGAGGGGACTCGTAAATTCACCACTAGGCGGAGAAATCAACATGGTAATTTTTTTCATATAGGAACTTACACGCAGCTTATTTTCATTATTCCTGATAGTAGGAACTTATCATTTGTAGGAATTGACATATGAAGGATTTCAATTTAAACTACTATACTGCCTTGTAAGGACTTACTATTGTTCAATTTTAATATTCAAATAGCCTAAGTAATGTTTTTTTTTTTAATCAACAGTTCTTTCCAGGTAGATTAGTGATTAAGAATAAACAAACATAAATTCCCACACAAATTAGGTGCTGAAAAAAATGGTTTTAAAAACATGGTTTAACTTTTAAAAAAAAACTTAATATATTGTTATAGACTATATGGTTACTATAATGTTATAATTAGTTATGTTTTCTAATTAATTTTGTTATTTTCTTAGTGACATCACTAAGCATCATTTTTTGGGCTAATATTTATCCAACAAATTTTTGTTATATGCTATCATTTAGTTATAAATGTATGATTATTTTTTCGAGACAATATTGTTTTTAGGTTTCTGGCATTACAAGAATTTTTAAAGTTAAATATTGATTAAGTATTGTGGACTGATGTATAATAGAAAAAACAACTTGTACTGAATAATATAAAATATTTATTTACTTTAGAACATAAGGACGTAGAACTTTATGTTCATATGCTAACTATGGTTATTTTAGAATGTCTACCTCAATGTCTAAGTGCTTATCTCAAATTGCAGTACCTATTGTACACAGAATATGATTAATTTATAGGAGATGAGCTAATATATTAACTATACCTACAAATTTATTTATATTCATGTATAACCTGATTTAGTCAGAACTTCATATAGTAGAATATGAAGAATTTATTGACAAGACATTTCTGACATCTGATGTAATTTTAAAACACATAAGTTCTTAGTATCAATTTATAAGAAAAAAAATATAGATTTAAATACTAAATATGGGTATTTTATGATTATAACTTAATGTTTTAAATGAGTACGCCTCAGTTATGCTAACATTTATAACAATTTTAATAAATAATATAATAATAATATTTAACTATACTAGGTATACAATATTATGTTTTTAAATAGGTAAGATAGGTAGTTTTTTCAAATTTATTCATTTTTTTTTGGTTAAAATGTAAAATATATTATCATCAAGTTACTTTATGTTTAATGATTATATTCTAGAATATATAATAACCATGTTAGTATATTTCCTCTAGTATCCCACAAATCAATTGAGTAAAAAAGATCAATGTCACTGAAATAGTATAAGCAAATCTAATTTTTTGAATGATAGGTACCATAATAATTTTAGCTCCAAAGTAACTTGCATAATATAGCACCTATAATTTATATTACAATTGAATATTTAAGAAACAGAATAAGTTGAAATTATTTATATTAATAGTTTCGGTTGAAATGTCTAACAACAAAAATATAAAATATAAATACAAATCAGTTAATCACGAACAAAATACAAATAACAATATCTTCTATTATCATATTCTAAATCATAATATCACAGATTATATAAATAATCTGTGATAATATTTAGAACGGTATCACTGGACTAGTCAACTGTAATCTTTGGTTTACGTTTCCATATACAATCGAATATCAACTATCGATAGTGTGAAAATATAACCAACAAATTTCTTTTTTTTAAATATAAACGATGTTAACGTTCACTATTCACATTTCTTTGTTCCTTTATTTCATTTCACTGTGTACCTACTGTATTATGTTTACTGTTTACTGTTTAGTTTTAGTGTCTCAGCCTCTCAGCCTCTCAAGTTAGTGTGTTACCTCATGCCGTGCGGTTTTGATGTTCTTCCGTTCTTCTTTATTACGTGTCTAGTGTTAGCGATTAGTAATGATTTATTACCTAATTTTTAAACTGTAATTGGTGTTATTATTATTGATATGTTTGAGTAGGACAATAAATTGTGTGAAATTATTATAATTTTTATTATTCGTGTTTTTTTTTTTTTATGGAAGTTTAAAGTAAGTTCCAATTCATTTATTTGAAAATCGGATTATAATAAATATATAAACAATGTTATTATTATGTTTATAGATTTATTTTATTTTATTGATTCTTAACCAAAATTAATGTAATACGGAATTTAATGGAGTATTGTTTTAGGTTGTAAAATCACAAATGAATACTCCGTTTGTTGAAGGATGGAATATTGTTCAAACATTGGGCGATGGAACATTTGGCGAGTATGTTAAATTTGTTTATAAATACTACATTTTTTATACATCGTAATAATTTATATAAACATTTAACTATTATTTTGAATTATTATTCTTAAGACACACAGTCAATTTTAAGTCACTTTCTTTTTCTTCTATTTATATTTTTCTTACAATTTTAATTGAATAAGTTATTATTCAACTGTAAATATATATATAAATTTAATGCTAATGGCCTTGGTTGTCAAAATAGAAAATTATAATTTCTAGACCAATAAAAAAATTTAAATAATAAGTTAGAAACTATTAATTATTTGAATTTTAATGTATTAACGTTTTCAAAAAATCATCATCCTTCACAACTTTCTTTAAAAAAGATTGGCTAGCATTAGGWAGAATAATAATAATAATAAAAATATATATATATTGTAAATAAATTATATGGCTTTTATTATTTTATCTAGTATGCTTATAAATGTAAAAATCGCGATTTGTTTAATTAAATTCATTTGGAAAAAAATGGGAGTGATCAATAAGCTAATTTGGCAAATCACATGTTTAAACTTACTTAGAAATACATTCAATCCGTCAATTAATTTATGTTTTTTTTTCTTATATGTATCTCATTTATTTAGATTTAGCTACAAAGTTTATGAATTTCTAACAGAACTGAAATCTTGCTCCTCTATATAATTTTATCAAGTTCGCTTAGTTATATATATATATATATTTACATAAAGTTTTACTAGAATTCTAATTATTTTATGATCATTTTCAGAGTAAAACTTTTACTAAATCAAAATAATCATTGCTTTGTCGCCATGAAAACTATTGATTTGCAAAACTATTCTGATGCATTGGCTACAGTAAAAAAAGAAGCAGCAATACATAGCCGATTGAACCATTCAAGTATAATAAAATATTATGGACAGCGTCATGCTAAAGATACATATTATATATTCTTAGAATATGCATCTGGAGGTGAACTATTTGATCGAATTGGTAAACTTATTCAATATAACTAATCAGGAATTTCCACAGGGCGTGAAACATACCACACTTCCTTCTAAATTATTCTATGACTTAAAATTAATGAGTATCACGCTTGGGTTGTGTGGGCCGAAAGTGTGGTATACTCTCAAGATTCACGCCCTTTGGGAACACTGCATAAATTTATGAATTATTTAAATTCTATAGAGACAATCATACATTAAAACTATGTTATAGTATTACATAGTCAATACAATATACTGATATCTTTTAGGTATTTCACTTGTCATACAATTGCTTATTTTTTTAAACACRCCCATCTCTATAGAATTTATAAGACTTCATTATTTTATGGTAATAACTAGATAATAATTGCATTTTTTGTACACTAATATAAATAAATATCTTTTTGAAAATTAGAACCTGATGTTGGAATGCCGCTATCTAATGCTAGAAAGTTCTTCAAAGAGTTGATTGCTGGAGTTGTAAGATTTTAAACAAAAAATCATTTTATTTGTTGTATATATATTTAAACCATTATTCTATTAGGAATATTTACACAAAAATGGTATAGCTCATAGAGATTTGAAACCAGAAAATTTATTATTGGATGAATATGGAAATCTAAAAATAAGTGATTTTGGATTAGCCACTTTGTTTTTATGTGGTGGAAAAGTAGGTAATATTTATATACCGTTTATTTTTTGCAAAACCTAAATATCTACTAAAGTAATTTGGTGTATGGATTATTCAAATTTACATTAAGTCAATCCCTACTAATTAATGAGCCAAACATGTATTGAGTTATACAAGTTARTCAAATCAATATAAATAATTTAATATTCATGAAAAAAAAGTATATTCAATAATAATTAATAGTATTTTTAAATGATTATATTAGATATCTAATATAAGTTACATTTATAAATATATTTTCATATTCTTGAATTTCGTGGTATTTAAAATATATTTTTTTCTCCGGTAAGATTCATAATATGATCTATAATATTTATTCAATTACATTACGCAGTTGAAAAAAAAAATTAAGCAATTAAAAAATGTTGACCAAATTGTAACTTTTTGAAAAAACTAAAAGGATGTCACACTGACATATGTTATCTCCATTTTTCAAATGTCCAAAATAGTACATTTACATTTAGAAAAATCTATTTGTGTTGTTAATTTTAACATTATAATGAATTATTGGCCTATTGTAAAATTTTGAACTCTAAGATGATATCTAAAGAATTTTGTAGGCCCTTGTTGATGCTTTAATTTTAAAGTGAGTTAAACAGTGTGATCGCAATAAGTGGAAATACACAATAGTCAATAACTATGTGTATTGTGTAGGCTTCATATTACATTTCAACTCTGCTTTATTGGCTAACTAATAAACATTATAATTCACATTTTCAAATAATTAGACTATATTTTTGACAGTTAATTTTGTGCATGCAAATATTGTTTGTAACTACCAAGATGAATATTTTTCAAATCGGTTGATATGAATTTATGGAGCAGTTCAGTGGCCACCAAGATCACCAGATCTTAACACCACTAGATTACTTCCTATGAAGTCCCTTGAAAACAGTAGCGTATGCCAATCCACCTTGTGCCTTCCGAGTTGAAAAGAAAAATAATTTCTGCTTATAATCAAATGACAGGAAAAAATTTTTTCTGTTATTAACCGAGAATTTTTGATTTGTGCTGAATGTTGTTTATAGCACTATGGTGCATAGTTTGAACAATTTGTTAGATAAATACAACTTTTATGAATAAAAAAATCAATATTTGTAATTGTATTTTAATTATCACGTATTTATTATTATTCACTATGTATTTTATAATCTGTTATACTCGTGCAAATAACGTAAAATCAAATGACTATAACTAGATCATTTTTTAACTTAGAAAAGAAATTCTAACACTTAAATGCATTAAAATAAACCAAAAATAATAACTTGTGATCAAAAATGGATCACGCCATTTAAAAAAAATAAGTTATAGTACATATGCCCAAAATTAACTGTCAAAAATTAGTCTAATTATTTGAAAATGTGTATAATAATGTTTATTAGTTAGCCAAAAATGCAGAATTGAAATATATGAAGCCTGCACATATTTATTGAGTGTTTCCACTTATCCTGATCATACTGTATACCTATTTATGCTAAATATTAGTTTTGAAAACTTTCTTTACAATTTTAATATTAATAAACACTTAAAAGACGTCTAATATAATATTATTATCCTTAAATTTGATAATATGTCAATTCTATATTCTAATATGTCTAACCTTAAATTAAAATTAACAATGAGATGAATTCTGCTAAACACAATTTTGTGATGTTTAATGTTTAATACGGAGACAATAATATATTTAGGTATCTGGTATAATGGTTTATTATACTCTTAAAATAATATATTATACTTTTATTTTACCCAACTAGAAATTAACTACAAATTAATATTAAATAACTTTGTAAATCCTAAATTTGTTTATTTTTCATCAAGTAAAACATGTACTCCTTAGTAATTAGATTTAATAAATTTAAATCTGATCCTAGACATAATTACCTATCTAATGTTTTACAATAATTTAAACAGCGGCGTAAACTGGATAAGTATTGTGGAACTCGTCCTTATTTAGCTCCAGAAGTTCTTTCACTTTTACCTTATCAAGCAGAACCTTCTGACATTTGGTCATGTGGTATTATACTGGTATCAATGCTTGCTGGAGGTAATTTATTATTTTGAATTTAATAAATTTTATTGTCTACGTTAATTTTGATTTTATTATATTATATTATTAAGAAGTTACTACAATAAACTGATAAGTGATAACTAATCCGTCAGAGTTGATATCTTTGGTATTCTAGCTGTAGGTTAAATTTTTAAGAAACACCCTAAAGCTTTAGTACCGAAGTTATTGGCATTTGATACTGCTTCAATCATTTTCAGTATTGTAACTTTTAAATTAGAAAATTGATTTTATTTATGTATATAATTATTTCTATAAAAATATCTTAGTAAATTTTAAGCAACCATTAATATTGAAATTTACTAGTTTAGTTTATAATTAGAGAGGTTCAAGACCAAGATTAATATATATTTATAAAACCTCTATATGTTCACATTAAAAAATTAAATGTTATTAGATTTTATTTTACTTTGTAGATTGTTGATAGTTATTTAAATTATACGTTATAAAAATTGCATATAAAAATAGATACTATACTATGACCCACAAGAGAATATTACTGGTTTTTGCGCATGCACATTGACAACAATGGTGGGTCTGAGATACCATTCCTCTTCCTCTTACTTTGTTTGCGACACAATTGACTGCATTATGTATAGCGTCTAACCTTAAAAAACAGTTGTTGATGAGTTCTAGATGCTCAGGAACATATGCATTTTGATCGAGACAATATTCTCTTGTAGGTATGAGTATTTATGGTTATTGGGATTAAATTAACTATAAAGTAAAGGCTTGAAAGAATATCATATATGTATATTTCAATGAAATAAAAAATTATAATTTATTAMATTTTGCATAAATATTTTTTATGTTTGTCTAGAGTTACCTTGGGATGTGCCATCTGATAATGATGAAGATTATAAATTGTGGAAAACTACGGACTATGCTAATCATTCACCATGGAATAAATTAGATACTTTAGCTTTGTCTCTTGTGAGAAAAATATTAACACCAACACCATCCCAAAGATATGATATATTAAAAATTCAGTCACATCATTGGTTCAAAAAATCAGAAACTGGTGGTATATATTTACTTAATCAAGCTAATTATTATTCACACTATTTAATTCACATTAAAGCATTAAAAGCACCCCCCCCCCTCCACCATAGTTTTTAAGGCAAACAAATTACTATTATCAGTAATTTTAATTGTGTGATTAAATAACTGTTTTCAATAATATTTTAAAATAAATTAAATTGCTTCATTAGTGACAATATAACTCATGACTGTATGTTTATTTAGCCAATAAAAAAGTTGGGATTTCTGTTCGGTCCAATAAAGATATGGATGATGGACGTCAATGTTATTCTCAACCAGCTTCAGCAGCTATTTCATTTGATACGTCCATGTCGCGCAGTGAATCTGAAATACATTCATTTTCCCAGCCAACACAGGTGGATGATCTGCTGTTGTCCTCACAACTTCTGACATCACAGTCCATCTCCACACCAAACGTAATTAAAAATCATTTGTATTATTTTATCAGGTTACAATAGTAAAAATAGTATAACTAAACTGTTATTTTTTTAGAACTCTATGCAAAACCTTGTCAGAAGAATGACAAGATTTCTAGTTGATTTACCACCTGATGCAGCATTAACCAATTTAGTATTGTTCCTGGATGATTTGGGATATATATCAAAAATCAACACACCTAGTTTGGTAATTTATAACTGTTATAGTGAATTAATTATTTTTTAATACATAAACATCAACAAAAAAATAAGTTAAAAATAGAAATAAATAATTAGTGAGAAGAACCATATCATTAAAACAGATAATTGACGAAAACAGACATTTAATTTCTTTATTTGCACAATGTATGTATAGCATAGTACAGTATGCTGTAGTCCACAAGAGATTGARTAAGAATCAGGTTAAAAAAAAATGTTGGGTTGTACTGATGTATTATATACTGATAAGATGGTTGTGTGCATCATCATAATTTACTACATTATTGAATATTGAGTGGAGGGAGTTCTTGCATTGATTGTGTGATTGTAACCTAATCAACTAGGAGCAAAAATTTGATGAAATATTATGTACTATAATAGTATCGCTCTTGACACTATTTTCTAATAAAAAAAATAATAATGAAGAGTTTGCATTATTTTGTTTCAATTAACACATATGAGATGAATTAGGCAGTTGTCACATTTGGTAGTCTATTTTCAGTATGGTGGTGTTGTCATTGAAGATAGAAGTCTGTGTTCTAGCACCAAAGTATGGCTATTGATGGGACAAGATATTAGCCGTTAGATATTGTTAATGTCAAATAGGTATAATTTTTGTCGATTTTTAAGATGTATTTGAGGAAATAGAGATGCGAATGATGAGGTCATATTATATTGAATTGGGTACAAGAAAAAAAAAAAATGGAAAAAATGCTTTTATATGCACAAAAAAAAAAATAAAAATATAATTTAGTTCATTATTTTTTAATCTAAGCTACAGAATATTATTAAAACAAAATATTTTAAATTAAGAGGACTCCACACCCAGTTGTCTTTGTTGTACAAGTACGTAGCATAGCAAATTTTACGCTCAGCAGATCACATTTATCTCCGTTCGTTAGTTTAAAATTTGGAGTGAATTGACCTATTATAAAAATTAAAGGAAAGATTATTGTCTAGGCCTCTAGGGAATTTCATGGGCTTTTTATTATATTTTAATTTTAAAGCGAGTTATGAATATTTTAAAATTGTAAATTGTTTGTATACCTAAAACTATACCTACACCTATACCTATACCTACTCGCTTTAAAATTAAAATATAATAAAAAACCCTATGAGATTCCCCAGATAATAATMTCGCCTTTAATTTTTATAATAGGTCAATTCACTCTAAATTTTAAATTGAAGGAGATAAACGAGATTTGCTGAGCGTAAAATTTGCTATGCTAATGCTAYGCACTTGTACGACGAAGACATCACATGCAGGTGTGGCGTCATCTTAACTGTAGTGTTAAATTATCTGTATAATAAATTAAACAGAAAATTATATATATAATATATGTGTTAATTTTATATTATTATAGTGGGTCTAATCAGAGATCCATCATTAATCCAGATAATAACCATGTTATTATTTCTTTACTTTTGTGTAGCAACATATTTGTTATAAAATAAATACAGTGTTGAGAACAAAACTATATTAGGGCCAGTTGTACAGTCTACGGTTAAACTTCGATTATGCTTAATCAGTTGATAACAGATATTTAACCGGGCAAATTCAGCTTATTAAACTCCGGTTAACTTTAATCGGAGATGGTGCAACTAGCCCTTAAACAAACAAATAAATATATTTTATTGTCAAATAGATTTGTGTGATCATTTAAAATTAGTTGTTGATTAACATATTAATCCTCGTTTTTATTTTAATACAGACCAAAGAAAGATTAAAAAGTTATTTTCTATTAAATGTATTTAATGTATATAAAATATTTAAGTTGTATACTTTGTTCAACAAAATATGCCTTAACCCCTCAAATATACATAAATATGTTAATTAAATGTTGTATATAAGATMAACTTGAATTTAAWCACCTGCCTTTTTAACATTCATAGTTGTTTGTACACTCAATATGAATTTGAAAATTCATACAATTCCTGTCTCCCCTCATAACTCAATCAAMATTATGTGCAAAGAAATGTTATATCTCTTCCGTTTTCATTAAAATAAATCTATTTTTTAAGATTAAATTTACTTTTTTTATGTGTTTGTGCTTCTTTAACATTTTACAAACTAATAATAATTATCAATTGTATCATTTTGCAGGTTACAATTACTACTACAGATCAGCGCTTAGTGTTTAAATCAACTGTTATTCCAATGAATCATCAAACTCTGATTGACTTCAGACTTTCAAGAGGCTGTGGTTTAGAGTTTAAGCGAAATTTTGTTTCCATTAAAAATGCAATGTCTGCATTAATTAAAGTTGCGTGGCCTATTGCTACTGAAACTGTACCTTAAATTATTAGTAGTATTATGAATACATATAAGGCTGACTAATTATAGATTGGTTAAAAATAATTTTGTTAATWTAGACCTATTGTAGAAAAATTAGCGTTTAAAAAAATCAATCAAATTTTTAAGTAAAATATGTACCTTCAGTTATATATTATGTATCTTATTAATTACATACAGGTKWGGTAGATTCAAAAACCAGTGCATTAATTTAAATTTAACATTACAACAATATATTGTTTCCAAATTTTTAATGTTATCAATTATTAGTTTATGGGAATGACTTTTTTTTTTATAAAATGTATTTATACTCACATTAAATGTATACAAATTATTTTAAATATGTATAGTTTATTTTGTTTTAATCTTTTAAAAACTATTATTCTAACTTATGTTTATATCACCATATATACTGTTATTTACATTTGTTAGCTTAGACAAAAAATATTACTGAACTAATTCAGGCTTAATTATCTTCCATTTAGATAATACAGATTTGTCATTCAATTGATTCACTTCAGTAGGTATTCATTAAAGTTATCAATTCATAAATAATTCAAAGTTCAAGGTTTTTTTTTTTTTTTTAAATTTAATATTTATGTATTATATCGATTATAATTGAGGTAGAATGAGAATTAATAAATTTTAAATTTTCTATCCACAAATTTTAATTAATTTTTTCGATTAAAAATTGGTAGTGTTTTAGGCAAAGATGGCCTGCAACTACAATAAYACAAAAAAAAAAAAATTGTAAAGGTAATGATGCGTCAAGGTGTACTTTGCCATTGAAGATTATAGGTCATTATAAATTGTGTGGATGGATACATTTAAATTCAATGATAAATAATTATAAACCGAAAATATTCTGACTGCAGACAGTCTGTTAGCCTGTATTGAGCTAAAACATGAAATAAATTTAAATACATATTTTGAAAGCATATAGGAAAATACAATAATATACATAAAATTGTATTTTAATATTATTGGTTATAATTAGGGGGAAAAAAGGGCTCGGATTTTAAAGCATGATAAATAACAAAATATAGCACTAAATTGTTTTTAAAAATCAAAAATAAAGCATGGCCAAAAATTAATAAGAATTAGTTGTAAAACTGAATAAAAAAAAAATGAAAAATGAATTTAAATTTAAAAAAAAAGCGGGTATGTGGGTATCGATCTGCTGTACAATGGCAGTGGGGTGAACCTCTGACTAGGGTAGGTTAAATCTGAATCCAATGATATTATATCATTGAATACGAAAAACGATTCTGAGCGAAGACGGCGTTTATCTGTCTAGAATATATTAAAGATTACCTATTAATAATTTTCAAATCTTAGATTTAAAAACAACATTTTTTATGACTTTCTAACTTAAAATAATTTGCGAATTTTAGTGATTTTTACGTATGTTTTCAAAATTTAAATTGACTGCATTTCTTTTATTTTTCAACTGATATTGTAAAAATATTTTAGGAGCCTTGTATTAAATTCTCAAATCTTAGAATTGAAAAGAAAAACTTTTATGAATTTCTATCTAAGATAATTTGAACATTGCCGTAATTTTTATGTATTTAGTCAAAATTTGAACTTCAAATATGCTAATAAAAAAAAATCGTGCCTATAAATTTTTATAATTTTTTAATCACTATAAGAAAAACTTATGAGGCACTTAGCATTAAATTTTCAAGTATTTTGATAGGGCCAAAAAAATTTTATCGACACTTCAAAAGAAAATTTTCAGAAAAATTGAAAATGTCAGTTGTCTATAAATATCTCAAAAAAAGTCAAAATATTTTGAAAATTAAATCATGTAAAGAAAATACCAATCTAAATAACTTGAGAAATTCAAGTATCTACTACTTATACTTTTTGAATAATTACAAATATTTAAAATTGTTTGAGGATAAATCGTTATCGTTACGCAATTTCGTAAAAATTTAAAATTCAAACGCACTTAAAATTTTTCCTATAATGATGTTTCGAGTTTTCTCTATAGTTATTTGAAGGAAAACTTAGTGTTGTATTTTTAATCCTTAGTTATTAACTCAAAAAATTTTATGATTTTTCAACTTCAAAATTACTTGCAAATTTTCGCGTTTTCGACAGATTTCGTAAAAATTTGAACTATACAGTTTATAAAAAAAAATTGTGAAWAACGATTTTTAATTTTTTATAGCTTCAATAAGAATAACTTAAAAGGAACCTTGTATTTAATTTTCAAGGTTTTTTTGGTTGTCCAACATTTTTTTACCGTCACTTCAAAAAAAAATTCCCAAAAAATCGAAAATTTCAGTGGTCTATAAATAACTCAAAAAAAGTCAAAACATTTTGAAAATTAAACAGTATATATATAACACTGACATAAACATTTGGTGAAAATTTCAAGTATTTACAGTGATTATAGTTTTTGAATTACAACCATATAAGAAAACCGATTTGGTCGAAAACTGGTTTTGCGTAAAAATTCTGTTTTTCTGTAATTTTKTTTGYTGTTTTTCTCGATTTTTTTGAAAACTTTAGGAAAATATTAACTTTTGACCTTTATAATGCACCAAGGATATTCACTTTTACATCGAAAATCATCCCCAAAGTTTGAAATTGAAGCATTATTTCGACTAGTTATGCTGTACACAGACACAAAAAAAGAAAACACACATCATTGTTAAATCAATACATTCATCACTTCGTTCAGAATCTAAAAAAATTCACTACCATGTAATTGGAAAGATTTTCAGTAGTGAAACTAACTATTGTCTGATAGAATGTTTTTATACATACAGTACAATCTCGATAATCTGACATATATCAGACCACGGCTGACGGTGGTATAGATAACCGTATATGCAATATAACCATTTAGTTCGTACTGCATTTTCCGGATTTTCTGATTAATTAAATTACATTTTTTTTATAATTATAACATAATAAACACAATATACAAATTTCACAGCTAAAATAACAAAAAAAAAGTGTTAAATATATAATGACCCGAGAATCAACTCAACGGTATTGGTGTAGGTAAACAGCTATCAGGAAATCAACTCGTATGCAGCCGAAAACTACATAACCTCAATTTTTATAAGAATGGACTTGATCCTTCTGTCCTTTGTGTACAATTTATATTGAAGATTTTCTAAGTGAAATTTATATCGGCGCATCCGAATTGGGTCCCGAGTACTAGGGTGTCGGCACCGATGCGGTCGAGACATTTACGGTCGGCACCTTTTTCGTGCCGTTTGCGGTCAGATTATTTCTATTTACCTGATTATCTAATCTAAGGTATATACTTATATATTATATTATGTACTAAATAATTATATATTAAATTGATTCTATACAGTATATAATAATATATTTATTGTTAAAATATGTTTAAAATCGTATTATTATTGAATTTATCGATTTTTTGCTATTTTGCGATTGTTTATGGGTATTATTATAGATAAAATGTTAGAACTTTGAAAGTATTAAATTAAAATTGTATTATGTCAATTATATAGTTACATGCCATCGATAACATTTACTCAGTCTTTAGTATAGTATACACATTTGTAGAGTTCGTAGTGCGTATATTATAGTGTTATTAAAATGAGCGATTCTTTAGAAATTTTGGAAACTTCTAAAGGAAAAGCTTTAGCAGTATACAATGGTTACCAATATAGGAAGTATCGAACCAATAACGAAAATGTAACAACCTGGGTATGTTTGAATGAAAAAAAAAGAGAGAAATGCACAGGAAGATTAAAAACAACAGGTAATACAATTTTAAATGTTACTATTCATCAATTTAAATATGACTTGGCAAAAATTGAAGTAAAAAAAAAATATAATATTGCAAAAAAACGCGTACGTGATTCATCAAATTCTGCCGCTCAAATTTTTCGTRAAGAGTACACCATTAATAGATCAAAGTTTAGATTTAGTGACCGAAATTCCAGTTTACTCGTCTGTAAAAACGACATTAAATCGCATACGTAGGAAATCGCTTGGCAATTCATTGGATCCTAAATTAAGGAAATATATTATTATACCTAGTGATTCTGAATTTTTATTATTTGATGAGATATATTTAGTATATAGAATCAATTTAGTATATAAAGTATATTATATATATATCTTAAATTTAGATATAAATAAGCTGACCGCAAACGGCACGAAAAAGGAGCCGACCGCAAATGTCCCGGAACCGAGTACTAGGGACTAATCGCAGGTACTATACTAGTTGGGTCCCAAATTAATTTAGGTATTCCACTAGTTCCTGAATACTTTTTGGTAAGTACTACACTATAATTAAATTTTCATTCCCATTTTAATAGACTGTCTATGATCTATTTAGACTACAGGTATGGTTAAAAATGTATTTTAAAGTTTTTTATAAAAATAATATAACGTAATAGGTATAAAATATATAGTAGGGTTAAATCAGGCAATAGTAGAAAGTTAATTAATTTAAATTTTAGCTCTAAAATAATGTATATATTTTTATGATTTTGACAAATTTTCTAAAAATCCATATTAAACTATTATAAAAATATTGTTTACATATTATGCATATTTTCAATATTTTTAAATGCTCTAAGAACAATATATGAGAAATGTTGGACTATACTTTCAAGCATATCAAACGATAAAAATATTATTACCTATTCGTTAACATCTGCAAATCCTAAAACATTCAACAATTTTTAATGCCTGCATAATAAAGCTTAAAATGTGTAAATACTTATTTTGAAACTTTATTTTTGTCCAAGAAATTATTATTTTTATATGATCTATATTTTACGAATAATAGCAAAATAATAGCAATTTGAAGAAAAAACATCATTATATTATACGTTTGTGAAAATTAAACATCCTTGTTTTAATAATATAATGTTAACCATCGGCGTATAGATAGGCAAATCTGGTATAAAAACTTGGATAACTCAGAAACTCAACATTTTCCATCTTATCGTAGTTTGTATATTTGTACATACTATACCTAATAGGACTATTACTATTTAATTTATTTTGGTCAAGCCAAAGTTATTTTCAGCATTTATTGTCAACATTATTTAGTTGTTGCTTTTTGTTT